TTTCGAGCAGACCCTGAAGACCTCATTGTGTAGCGTGGCGAGGGCGGACCGTGTGACGTCGAGCCGAGGCTCTGGCTGTTTATTGTTCCTTCCTCAGCACGGACAGAGAGAAACGGGCTAACAGTCTGTCAGCCACTTTCTTCACACGGTAACGTTCGATTTTACGAAGGTGTAACGGGCTAGACAGCTAACTGCACAAACCAGGGGTCATGGCGTATGCGTACCTCTTCAAATACATCATCATCGGAGACACGGGTAAGTTACAACAAGTGCCAGTTAGACTGCCAGTTAGCATTTACCTAGCTCTTAGCCGCTAGCTAGCGGCGTATTTCCGCAGTGTTGGATAGTTCAATGACGTGGTAAAAGCAGAGACAGAAGGGGTGGGATGACAGCTCCAATCCTTCTCTATTAACATATTTAGATAACAATAAGCGACCCCTGGCAGTGTTAAAAATCTACAGAGGAATCTTTACACAAGCTGCCTTGGAGTAGCTTGTGTCAAGGTTGATAGCGGCTGATAAATGTTTGGGCCTTTTGTCCCTTTGCGTCGAGGGTGGGGGTGTTAGCCACAGCTTGCCAGCCCAGCTAAGTAGCTTTAGCTTTTCCACCAAATATTTAGCAACCGACTGTCACGACATCCAAATAATGCTTCACTCACTGCAGCTACATACGACAGACAACCACACTACCAATTTCTGTTGTTGTTCATGTCTTATAATTACTAAACATTAGCTTAGCTTCTTGTCAGAGAAGGCCAAGACGCCAAGCTGCACCTCTAATATTCCCTGAAATGGCGTAGAGCAGATCTAATTTCTGGCTACATATATCCATGCGATTTGGAGTCGTTGCATGGTTCCATGTTTTGCGCTTCATTTACCAAAATGTAGGTTTGTATATCTTGTGCTGGAAACCGCTCAATTAGCCGGCGGTGTTGTCATCTGTTTACTTTTAGCAGGCTGTACTGATGAGGGGTACCGCTGTGTAGTTGCAGGTACATTTCTATATTATACTGTTACAGCACCAGTTTTAGAAAAGGCGGCAGGTCTTACTGTGAGGTACAACGAGAGCTTTAGTAAGATAAACTGCCAGCGATAGTAAGAGGCAGCTAGAAAATTTTCAGAGTAAATAGATATTGGGGAAAGACTCCCATTGTGCGGATATGTAGTTTTGTCTTAGATGATGTACACTGTGGTGGGTTTCATGTTTACTACATTGTTATTGCCAAGCAGGGTCACGTTCTGCCTGCTGCTGTTATGATTTCGTACAAGTATGTTGTTTATCTTCAGTAGTGAATGTTGAAAAGGTCCCAGCTTGATTACACAGATGTCTACACCAGAAATACTCCATCTGTGCGCCACTTACTTTTGCCTCAAGAGGCTTTTTTAAGCACACACGCGGGCATTGCAGTGCTAGCCTCGTTTTGTTTTTCAAGCATATTTCCAGGGGGAAATAGTATTTATTTTTTAACTAAAATATCTGGTGTCCAGGACATAACATGTAATTAATATTAGTGTCAAAAAAGCTGCTGGGCCAAATGTTCCATAGCTATCATCTTCTCATCATATGACATTACAAATTTAGCGTGGGGTGTTTGGGATCACTTTCAGGAATCCCTGGAAAGAAACCTAACATTAGTCTGCCAGGTGAAAATCTAATTGGCTCACTGATTTGTTGTTGTTGTGATCAGTAGAAAGGCTTCTAAATAGGTTTAGGGACAGAGTAATAGTAACTGTATACAACAGTAAATAATTGTAAAAACATCATTTTCTGCATGTAATATGTCATTTTAATACAACGTTACATAATCCCAATATATCTGACTGTTCTGTCTGGCTCAATTCATCTGGGGCTGAGAGATACATCAAGAGTGATTTTCAGAAGTAAAAACCTATCCAGCGATTGCTTGAGTAAAAAATATTTTCCAGCATTGTCAATGATGAGACTCAAAGGTGCAGGAGTCATGATGTTTACTTATACTAGGTCATGTGATTTCTGTCAACAGAAAGGTCAGCACTTACACTTATGTATAGGAGGCAGGTCATTTTAAGTAAGAAACTAGCCTGCAATGTTGTAATCATACTATGATGCAAGTCAGACTGATCAGATCATCTTAAACTAAGGTGGGTTGGGGAGAAGGGATTTAATCTTGCAAACAATGTATGTAGCACTGTTCATAAGCTACAATGCTTATTGCTAATTATGTAGCAGTGACTGGGAACAGCGAAGCTGCTTACGAGTTGCTGCATGTAGATGCAGGGAGAGAGGGGAAGGAGACAGTGGGGAGTTTATCTCTTGCTTACCAGCATACCAGCAGGATGGCACCCAATCATATTTAGTCAGTACAGAAATAAATGATTTAGCCTACCTTTATTAGTGAACATAAGTCAATAGATGTTAGCTGAACAGGTATAACAGTATGAAATATTTGTCTGGTTCTTTATTCCCTTGCTAAAATTGAAAATTTCTAGAGCTATATTTTATCTGTAAACAATGTTAATACCAGGCTATAGCTTAGGCAAAAAACAACAAAAAGCCCAGTGCATAGGTCTGCAAGGCCTGTAATTCAGTGGCTGAATCACTGGTATGAGTAGAACTTGCTAATTTTTGCCACCACCTAACTACTTAACTAACTAGTTAGACAACATCAGCTTGGCTTGTGGCAACTTTGTGGACAAAGTGTGGGGCGATTTGCCTGCCTTTGAATGTGAAAAGTGTGTCCGAAAGAGAAAGGGACATCTTCTGGAAGAACTCTTTTTGACTGTGATCGGTTTTTGTATTTTCATTAGGAGGTCAGTTTTTACACTTTTGTATGACTGTATTTAATAATTTTATTTTAGAATTATTTGTTTCTTCTATGTTTAATTTTATAGAATATAACACATCTTATCTTGGTCTTATCTTCACCCTAAAGGAGATATGATGGTTAAATCTAAAACCAGTCATAGACTAATAGTTGGACAAGTTTAACTTGGGTGTGTCATCTTGTTACCTTGTAACTGCTTTGCTGAGTCAAAGCAAATCCACAAGTTTAAACACCAGAAAAACCTCCGATCTCCAGGTTAATCAATGTTCAGTGAGGCTTTTATTGTGAAAAGCAATCATTAAGGCTTCCATCTTCCCCATGTGCCTAGTATGATGGTCAGTACCAGTAAGATTGGCAGTCTTTTAGTGCTGTAATCATTCATCTACACATGAAGACTGAGGAAGATGTATTTCCAGTTAGTGAGTTTTAGTTGGGTTTTAAGGTGTGATGCGTAGACATCATTTTAGTCTGAGGAAACATTCCCAGCTAATGTCTGTGAAGGTTCTCAGTCATCCAGGTCATCGTAGTCAAAGGAGCTTAGAACTGAAGAAGCTTCTCGGTTGAGAGGTGAAACGTCTTCAAGCAACTTAAAGAAGTCCAGACGCTTTCCTTTGCAAGCTCCTTTGATTCCCAGCTAATACACTCATGCAGCTGGTGCTCTTAACCCCACCTGCCAGACATGTATTCAGAGTTGACACTTTTTTCCTTTGGTTGAACTCAATAGTTCAACTAGTTTCTCACAGAGATTTTTCTTTAAAATATTAACTATAATTAATACAGAAATACAGCTGCAGTGTATGACTTTCTAAGGGGAAAAACACACAGAGACAAGTCACTTTGTCCAGTGGCATCCTACCTTTTTTGGCATGTAGTATGTGTTTTGGTAGTTGTTCACCTTAGGTGTAGATTCATGGCCTGCTATAAATTTTCTTGACCTTTATCTAACTTGTCCATGTGTCATTTTAATTTGGCGCCGTCTACCCATTGTTGCTCTAATGCCTGCATCCTTGCTGTGTTGCTGATGCTTTCTGAAATGTGACATTTGTCAAAACTTACTGTATATCATTCCAGGTGTCATCACCTCTCTCTCCTCTTATTTTCTCTCAACCCTTCGTGGAGTGTTTGAGAGGAGATGCTTTGCTTTATGACTTAAAGGAGTAGCAGGGACTTGCACAGGCGAATAATGATAAATTGGATTGACTATTCTGAGACAGGAAAAGGTTAATTCAGTGTTGACTGTCTCTCTGACCCATGGCCAGGCTGTCCTCAGATATAGCTTGCAGAAGACAAACTGCATCTGAACAGAAATTATAGCTTCAGTACAGATTGAATGTCCAAAAATAGGCTCTGTCCTACTGAACACAGCCTGTAGATCTCCAGCTTTTCAAATTTTAGAGTTTGACCCCATTCAGAGAATTTGAGGTTCATTGTTTCACAGCAGTTTTCATTATGAAAAGCACAGACAGATTTCAATATGCACAGCTATAGTTCGTTGGGATTTTTTATGCAATAATATCCGGTCTTTGGCTAAAATGAACAAATCCTTCATTCATGGACCTTTTGTTAAGTCCTGCGTGTGTATCTGCTTTGACTAAAGTTTTTTTTACAGGTATCCTTGGGAACTTACAGTGGAGTTGTGGTAAATGTTTGTGTGTAGTTTTCCTGTCTAATAATTATGATTATTAGCTTTCCACAATTCACCCCCCTAACATAGTAACATCTATGTTAGGTCATACAACCACCTAAAACTGTAACCAGGCAGAAACACAACTTAAACAGAAACTACCTGTCCTTGACTTGTTTTATCATTAATCTTTTTACGGTATACAGAGTACGGTGTCCCATAAGCCCTAATTTAAAAGACCTCTTCGCAGTAATGACCAGACTGGAGTGTGAACTGAGCTAAAAAGTGTGTTATTCATAGTTGAGGTGGTTTTCTGATGACAGTAGTGTTTGAGGGATAACATTGCGTTCATGTGTGATTAAACTGGGTTAATGGGGGACCTATAACAGTAAATATTAACTGTGTGAAATCTGCCTTGTCAGGATTGTGGGACTGCAATTTGAACAGGTTTGATTAACAAATAGTCCCACAACTTGGGATCTAATAATTATTGTTGTATGTAGGGTCCTTCATTCAGAATAGAATGCTGATTGAGTTTAAGTTTTAAGGATCTCTAAAACTATAACTTCAGCTATTTTATATTGTTCTCAACTTCTAAAATCCCCTGCCGACAGCCTATGGGGATGACAGCTTCAGATCACACTTGAATGCACTTGAGTAATACTTAATGTGCAAAAAACTGTTCCCCTGGACAGTTCCTGTCAAATTCCTCAGCAGGGATTGTGGTGCAGTCTGCTGACCTAGCCAAGCTTCAAGTTACTGCTGTAAATGAGCAGAGCAACATCTCACTGGCTTGCTGGACACTCTTAACACATCGGCACCAACCATGTGCAACAAGGTTGTGTATTGTGCCTGCTTAATGTCAGCGTTTTCTTGTCTCATTTCAGACGAAATAGTAATTTTTTCGCTTGTGTTATACTTTAATTCTCAGCCCACATCATCTCTTCATAAAACGTAATTGCTACATTTCTGAGTGCTAGAGATGAAATGGTATCAACATTTGACGTTTTTAGTGACCAGAATAACAGTATCAGGAATAAGTGAGTAGGGCTGGGCCATATCATGCCGTTCACGTTGGGCAATGATAAGAAAATGAAATATTGCAATAGAATATGGGTAAAACGCGCATGCGCAGTGCCTTTGTTTTCATATGCACATGGAGGAAAAAGCGTGCCGGCGACAGAGAATGAGAAGAGCGAAAGTGGATCGCTGAATGAAACTGATGAACCAGAACTGGTTTGTAAAAATGCTGCAACTTCAGTGGTGTGGAACTGGTTTAGCTTTCGTCCATCAGATACACAACAAAGCACTATTTTTGGTAGCGCATGCTAGCGGGCCGTCGTTATTACCGTGTTTTCTGGAAAATACGGCACGCTTAAAATCAATCCTTTGATTTTTCTGAAAATCAACAGCGCCCCTTATAATCCCGTGTGCCTTATGTATGAATTCTGGTTGTGTTTACTGACCTTGAAACGATTTTATGTGGTACACAGCGCTCGAAAATCTGTCAGACGTCTTTGCTAAGCTACGAAGCCGCACCGCTTGATGGATTGTCGGAGCATTACGGCTATCGTAGGCAGGAGCCTCGCGGAGTGATAGGTACTGTGCTTCAGCATAATATTACCATATTGTGTGTGTATAAGCTCTTTTTAAGTTTTGTGGATATTATACATGGTTATGCTGAGGACATGTCGGCCAATTTCCACTGGAAATGCCTTTTGGTTAAACTGTCAGCGAGGAATTTGCATTTGCACTGTTAAATTTTTATATAACTTTAATGCACATAAAAAACAGCTGCTTGTTTAAGTGAAAATACATTGATGGGTTTTTTTTCACTAATAAAGTTGAGGAGTTGTAAAGTATTTTGTCTAGTGTCAATTATATCGTCAGTTATATCGTTATTGCAAATTTTCAAATAAATATCGTGATAAATATTTTTGGTCATATCGCCCTGCTCTATAAGTGAGCATATTTACACATTTTCATGTGTTAGAGCCTCGACTTATTTTTCAGCAGATGAGGCCTGGAAAGGGATGTAATGCTCAATTTGTCCTGCCGGATTAACAGTTTCAACGGTTTTTGTCTGGAATGGGTAAGCAAAGACTGCAGTCATACTACATGTACAGCAGCACAACAGCATCCAATGTTTTTACATGAACAGTCACACAGAAAACTTCAGTTGTGATTATTGATAAGCTGTGAGCAAAATAAAAGGGAAAAGTCATTACATTTGACATTTCTCTGCTCTCACTATAATATTGTTTGTGGTGCTCACAAATCAGCTCACTTTCTGCATCCTCAGTATAAAACATGAACACAGACATCATGACGTCACTCGCTGATTTGTGCCCTGTTAATGTCTGTTATGGTTTTGTGTTGGTTGTGTTAGAAGACCTGACGTCATCAATGCCTCCTCACCGTTTATACTGGCACTGAGGCCATGCAGTCCTCCCGTGGACAATAGGTGTCACCACTGAAGCAAAACGTCAACTTCAACATCAATACTGATATAGGACTAGAAGTTGAAAGAGGAAAGCACAGTGATTGCAGTATTTTTGTTTTTGTCTTTTTCAACGTTTTCTCCAGAACGTCTTACTCTTCAAGCCGTCCAATATCTCCTTCTGTACAGTCCAAGATCTCTGCACTTTAACTGGTGGTAAAAATGGACACAATCGTACACTCTTGTTTTCAACCTGGCCTCACCAACTGGCTGGGTTTACAAAAATTGAGTGGTGCGTGACTGGCTGAAACCACACCACAGCGTGGTTCATACTAGCAGACTTGTAAGTCACAAGTTGTTAGTCAGTGACCATCTTTTTAGCCAGCACTGTTTTTTCCCTCTTTTTACAGTTAAAATGACCAGAATTTACAAATGTGCTATTCATACCCAAAATGAATGACTGAGCCCATAAACCCATAATCCCATTAGGAAAGTATTTACAGAGATGGAGTTCAAAGGCAGTTTTCACACAAACATCTGTAGGAACCAAAAGTCCTTTTGCAGTTGTCACCCCTGATGGCCATTAAAAAAAAAAGTATGTTGCATTATCCTCACTTTTCAAACCCTAAAGCGATGTCAGTCTTTTGTACTGTCTGGTTTTCAATCGATTTTGGTTGAAGTGTGTTAGCTGTGATTTATTGTAATTAAAAACAATTTGAAATAGGTATCAAATAAAGGTAAGAACTAGTTCAGTCTGGGAAATTGCCCCATGGTATGAGACAACTTGTGAGGTGCTCGGCCATGATGAATCTGTTACTATGACAACTGTTGAAGTGAGCTGGAAAAGGATACTTTTTTACAAGGTATCCTTGTCTAAAGAACAGGGCCGTGGTTTATGAATCATTTTGTCGAATGCATCCTATTTTTTTTTTTTTTTTTTTTTTTTTTTTTTTTTTTTT